GTCTTTAAGGGCACAACCAAAAGTTTTCAGCCTCCGTATTCTCATGGGGAAGACAATTTTGGTTGACACTTGTTTTGCAACCAAAAAAAAAACACTAAACAGAAACAACACCACACAATCCACTGACCTTTGTCAAGATACGGAGAGATACACGTCAAGATGAAGAACTGGAAAGAAGAGGACAGCAAAGAGACATTTTTCACAGAAACCAAAGCAGACTTGGAATCTTGTAACTTCTTCACATTATTCAGCTCATCCGCAACCTGAAAAGCAGTGGCTTCAACTAAACTCCGTTCAAATAAGCAGAAGTATCAACACGAAGCAACTATATGTTATTGTCATGTCAGGTCGGTTCCACTGAGGCTTCGTTCACACATTGCGACCGGAGAAGGTGGAATCAGCGAATCGGCATTTTGGGAGGATGCGCGCCGAGAGAGTGGATGGATATTTATCGGAGCTAGTTGCTAGCGTCTTGGAAGAATGGGAGAGTCGTCGAATCGACATTTAGGAGGGTCGAATTGCTAGTGACCGGCACCCATAGATATTCATTCATTTCTTTGGGGCGCACTCGTCCAAAGGGTCGATTCGCCGATGCTAAGTCATAAACTAGGAAAGCAGCCTAACAGCCTAAATACCGCCTTCTGCTCTTGTGCAACAACAACCCGACGGGAATTCGCCTTGCATGATCTATGGCACAGTTCTGCTTGAGGAGGGAGACAAATGGCACCCAGCTAAGCTTGCACCCACTACCTTGCGAAGACCTGTAAATTTCTGAGACCGAATTGGCTCACTCGCACCGTTTCGCAGTTTCAGATGAATTTACGTATGAGTCAAGGTGAGGTCTGTCATCGAGCACAGCACAAGCTAACAAAGAGAACTAGCGAAAGTGCAACATACCCCCTCCACACCGAACAGCGTTGACCTATATCAAGAATTTTGAGCAGCAAAAGTGTCAGACAGATTTTCACAGCTAGAAAGCAACTTCAGCTATTTACTACTGATGAGCTTATTCACAGACTATTAATTATCGTCGATGAAACCGCTTGAAATTGATCAGAAGTACGCAGTACGGTGTTCCGCAATCGGTTAACTTAACTAGCCTACTAAACTGGAACTCCTCTCCTAACTCACCTTTTCCATCACAGCTATAAGCTTATGTCCATAACGAACTCTTGCATCGAAAAACTGCAAATTCGCTTCATGTGCAGAGGATGTGGATGCTCTTGTGCTTATATCTTCTACTGTACAAAAGCATGAAGAATCGCATGAGGGTATGCTCTGAAAGAGAACTTGAAAAGGGCAATTCGAAGTTGAAGCTTCGAACAAATAGTTGTAAAATTACTTACATTTTCGGAGCTTTCCAAGTCCAACAGAAGGGCAGCTATTGGGTCCGATTTCGACGCTTCCCATACGGAATCTAAAATTATAGGTTTCGTACTAGAAAAGTGGCAGAGTACCATGGTGAGTACCGTGGTGACGGTGACAGTTAAGACCTAGCTAAGCTACTGCCGATTAGGAAAACGATGAATTTCAATAAAACCCCCATGACTGAGAAATTCAAAAATATGTATTAAGAAAACAACGCTGAAATTTAATTAAACCAAGCAAATTTATCTCTGAGCTAGACTGGCCTGGACAAGAAAATAACAAAAGTTCGTTCGAAAAAAGTCCGAAATAAAGCACTACCTACGACGTGTTTTTTTTCGATGCCCAGGTTTCTCTTCATTTCAGTTGAGTACTTCTTAA